GGGGGGGGGGGGGCGGATACCGTAGGATGATTTTTGTGTGATTCTTTAAGCACAGCGGCTTATCGGCGAGGTGAGTGCAGTTTTGCCTGATAGCGCTGCATACGAGAAATGATTCTAGTAATGGTAAGGTGAAATTTGAACGGTCGATGCTTGCTGCGAAATGGAGAAAGTTAGCATTCACACACTGGGATGAACAAAATCAAATAATTTCTTCCGTTTAAAGAACTCGCTTCGTTCCTGTGGTGTATACTTGAAGTACGCTTAGAAATGATCTCGGTTGTCTGAATCTGAATAATATGAATGGGCAAAAAATAACTCAAGCTTCTCGAGTGATAGAAGAGACTGGGAATAATTACAACAGAAAGCAATTTTAGATGGCAAGGACTGTGCCACCATAATCAACAGTACAGTCACGCCCTTCTAGCGCTCTGAACAATAAGAACGAAACATTTTTGTGTGCGCCAGGAATAATATGGGCTCGCACTGCTGCTTGCTTTGTTTCCTCATTCTCTTGTCTTTCCTGGACTGAATATTTCCTCAAGCTTGTGCTGTAAGTGATGTGCTTCGATCGACTGCCGCATTGTTTCTCTTTGGTACCGGGTTTTCGGGTTGCTGTGGATTGGTGGAGGACATACCTCCGTCGTCACGATTTAGGCTGCTCTCGCACATTGATTTCCTTGCTGTCCTCACGATTGTTGATCGCCGAGCGGCAAGATTTGGTATAACCGGTTCTGGTGGTGGCCTAAAATGATCTAAGCGTTACTTCCATCTAAAACATATTTGCCATTGCATGGATTACCTCAGGATAACAAACTAGATTCTCGCTTTTACAACCGAAAAATGAGGGGTAGATATACTAGTATTATTGCGAGGAGTATCTTTTCTCAAACAAGTTTTTCTGGAGGTGCGCGTCACCCCAAAAGTCTTGGCGTCGCTCTCTCGTCCTCTCATTTCTTTTTACCTTTTAAACATTTCAGATTTTATTAAGTCAGCCTAAGTACATTTGACTTTTGAAATGTATGAAAGGTTTTCTTTGACATACATCTGCTCTTTTTTTTCTTGAAAGAGCCATGTTCTGATGACATTGCACACTGCGGAACAAGGAAAAATTGAATTAAAAGAGCCATTTGGACGAAAAAATAAATGAGCAACGAACTGTTTAGCTTTTCGCATCGTTTGCACTGCAAGCATTGCGAAAAGGAGGGCGCAGAGGGCAGCACCGGCAGCAAATAGCAGTCTCCTCCACTGCACATCCTGACTGAACGCTGTTAGCCAGACGCATATGCTGAAGCTCAGCAATGATCCAATCATGCAGAGGAAAAGCTTAAAAACGATCATTTTATTTGACCAGATAGTGAACTCTTCTGATTCAGTTTTAAAGCCATCCTTCCAATGCTAGGTAGCTTTCTTCTTGCACACCTAACCATCTTATTTACTGGGATAGTTGCAGAAAAGGGGGCTCACTGGTGACAGGAGTACGAAGAAGGGTTGAAATGACCTCTTTGACTGCAGGCAA